TTTGGTTGGTCAACCTTAGAATGTGGAATGAATTCAGTCTAATCACTGATTCCTTGTCGTTTGTGTCCTCTGTGGGGAGACAATCAAATCGGACCTTCCATTTGAAAGATATCAAAACGTTTCTGATTGGTCGATTTTGTTCCTGGAATGGAAGTAGCACTTCAGTCCGAAAATCGGGAGCAGGCTTTCTTCCATTTACACTGAGTGCACCACATGTCCCTGTTTTCCATCCCATAAACCTTTCGGCACTTCCGGACTTCACTTCGAGGCTTCTTATGAGAGGAGAAAAGGTGAGATTTCGGAGACTGAGCCTGATGCTGTTGCAGCCGTTCCTGTGGAGATGGTTTGGACGAACGGACAGAAGGTGACATCTGGAAAGGACACGACAGAAAAAATAATTCATATACATGTACTTAAATGAACTGTATTGAATAATTATAGAGCTATATGTGTACTACGTCATCCTATTTTGCGCATGTGTCAGCATATACAAATAAATATATGTGCACTGCGTCATCATTGTATGTTTGTGTGTCAGCTGTACCGCGACATAGTTTTGAGTTTATTTACCAGTAAAACAGACTACTGTGTCTTCCAACCTACGGCCAATAAAGGTAAATGAAGTAATTAGAGGTCAAACTAAGGTCAACAGAATCGCTTACCGACAATCCAGGCGAGGATGAGGTATTGTTATTTTGCCATGACAACGATCTTTTGATCTGTGGCATTGTTATGGGAAGAGATCCGGATGACGTCAGCGGTTGGAATCCTCCAGAAGGCACTGACGAGGCGAACATGTTGCCAACATTTTGTCTGTGTTCCTTAAATATAAAAGAATGAAGAATTCAAAATCGTGTAAATTGGTGTCCCATAAAAAATTGAAATGATGACGTCATACAATCTCGTATAACAACTTCAAGCGGTACTTTTTAAGTCTAATTGAATATGAAGATCTTTTGACTTTACCAATCATGCTATTTTCAGATCTTATTTTCGAAATACCCAAATAAATAACAACACTAGAATTTTAAAACCGTGTATAATATGATCTTTCTCCTCTAGACAAAAATGAAAAGTCAATGAATTTTCAAATATAATTAATATTGTTCTAAAACAAATCTGTATAACACGTGAAAGTTAAATCACGACAATCTAGACTGACCTTTTTCTGGTAGTCGTGATCTGGAATAGGTCTGCCGAAATCAAATCCGGTTGGTTCCGGCGGTGATGACGTACACATATCAGAGAATTTCTCAGTCACGTGATCCATCGTGACCTCGATCTCGGTGTAGTAAAATTCTTCCTCGTGATCAAGAAAGTTGCTGTCGCTTTCTGAAAGTCTGAAAACAGAAAAAGAGCCCATCAGATACTGTTGATTCCATTGACGTTTGTCACGTAACAGCACTGGTAAACATGATAATACGATCTTGTTCCCAAAAATCCCCATTTGTTTTACCATTTGGGTAAATAGATTGTCAAGGATGGCTGTCCCATTTCTCTGTGGTCTTTTGTATGTACAGTAGTACTGGTACATTCTATATTATTTTGAAGTCCATGCCCCAAGATCCTGAAAAAATCTTAGACATTCTTTTTTGCTTAGCCAATCACGTATGACGTCACTTTTAACGACGTTATATGTGATTGGTTCAGGCTCGAATCCCGGTTTAAGTTTAAAAAAAATAATACAATCTTGCGTCCCGTGAGTGATAAACATTTGAGACCAAGTTTTTTAATGTTTTACTACTTATTCTTTGAGTAACAATATTTTATCTCTTTCATTCCGTACAGTAGTTCCATCCGGGTCCCTTTAATTGATACATACCCAAGATGTGCCGTGCGTACGTGGGCCTCGATACTGGACACTGTGTTGTGAATTTTGTTGCATTTCTTCCACGTACATTTGAACACCGTTTTCTTGTGACCCTACAAAAATAAAATTGCTCTTTATTAAACACAAAATTGATAAAATTCATTTCCAGCTAAGCTACCAGTGGACTGCTTCTGGGTAATCTGATTTTATTTTTACCAAAATAATAGGTCCGGCAAGGTTTCCTTCTATGTACACACCAATTTTTTCATATAATTTTCTTGGAA